CCCGCCCCCCCACCCAGGAGGCCCGCCCGGGCCGGCGGAGACCCGACAGGAGGGGCCCGACTAAGTTTGGCAGTCCGCACCTGCCATGGCAACAACCGTACCATTGGTCGCTGCTGCCAAGAGCTCAGCCAATGACAGCCTAGGGCAGCTGTTGCTAGGCGACGACGATGCAGCCGGCGGAGCCGATCCCAAACAAAGGGCGGGAGTGGGGCCCGGCTGCCCCCTCTCGATCTCCCTCCCAAATCGGCTCCCTCGGCCTCAGCCCCTTCCCGGAATGCAGCTATGAATAGCCAGGCACTGCCCGCACCTGCCCGCCGCCCCCTCCTCTCCTTCCGCGGCCTCGGGCTAAGTCTCGTGGCGACGCGGGCAGGGCGGATCCCGACCCCCCTCCCCCCGGTCCCAGCGAACGCGTGCCGCCCACCCATCGCCGCGTGGTTACCTGAGGGCGCGGGCAAGGGGACTCAAACTGCTCGGGGAACCCGAGCTTACACCTATCCCCGGGCCCCGCCCCCTCCTCCCCTTCCGCTCACCTCACGTGACCTAAAGTAACACTCTGCGCCTGCGCCTTTAGGGTGCTTACCGGCACACGGACGCAGCTAACTACCAATCAGGCCTAAGAGCCGAAGTCCTAGTTACGGCTGCGCAAGAGGGTGCTAGGGCTGGAGCATGCGCTCTGTGACCTGTTGAAAATTTCTACCCCCTACCACGCAAAGTTGACCAAGGGCGCTTGAGCCCTCAACCAAAACAGAAATCAGCACAGACGGGAGCTAGAGGGACGGATGAGTCCTTTTTTAATAGAAAAAAACCCCACATGTACAACAGTAGCAACATACATCTCTAGCATTCCAGACAGCACTGAGCTTCAGTTCTTCACCTTGGGGGGTGGCCTGTGAGAGGAATAGGAGATGGGGGGGGTGTCACAGTTTATCACCACATTGGGGGTCTCCTGGTACATGGCACTCTGGGTGAAGCAGAGATCTCTGTTTTGGTGGATTACTGGGCCCCCTGCTCACCTGTACACACCCACGACCACAGCGTGGTCTCTCTCATAAGGCTCTAGGGTCAACTGCTCCTGGGGCTTCATGTTCTCTTGCTGCATCTTTTTCACTTCAGAAGCAAACACTGCCTCTGCTGAGGCTGTGGAGTCAATGCAGTTGGCCTACAGAGGAGACAGGATTCGAAGTCTGCAGCAGGCTTGTGGCAGTCTTCCTTTTTTCTCCTATTTATATTTAAACTTGAAGTTTTCTTTGAAACTCAAGTGAAACTTGTCTCAAAAATGTAAAAGGCTTCATTAAGCAAGTTTAAAAAAATTACTTAATTTTATTTATTATTTTTAAAATTCTGACCAATGAGACAGGGAGAGTACGAGAGAAGGGGAAAGTGAGAAAGCAAGCTGCTAGGTCCAGGTCTTGAACTGTGGTCAGCCATGTGGGAGTCCAGCATCTCAACCACCATGCTACCTGCCAGCTCCCATTAAACAAGTTTGTTTGCTTATTTATTTATTTTTGCCAGTCACCTGCATTTAATTCCCCACTGGGGCAGAGGCCTGGCCTTTCTGGTTCTCCCGACACCGCCACAGAAGGAGGTACTCAGGAAAGAAGTGCTCACCCAAATCAGTCCCTCACACACTCCCACCCCAGGCATCTGACTTGCCCAGGCGCGGCTGGGCAGGACTGGACTCCCAACAAGTTTTAAACAGAATCTAAAACCTGGTATTTAAACTTTACATCCAGGTTTTTCTCCCTCTACTTTCTCTTCTTTAATAGTAGTAACAATTGGGAACCAGCAGTTAGCTTAATGGCTATGTCGCTGGACTCCCACGTAGTCAACCGCGGTTCACGTCCCGGACCCAGTGGCTTAAAACTCGCGCCGGGTGTGTGTGCGTGCGTGCCCAAGATCCTGAGAGGAGAATGGAGGAGAAGGGATTGTGGCGTGACCATCGCCCCGGGGGGTGATTTCTCACTTTCTGTCTCTATCTGGCGAGCACACGCGCCCTATAGCGAAAACCTCTCAAAAAAAAAAAAAAAAAAAAAAAAAAAAAGTGTACCAATTCAGCCAAGAATGATAAATGTAGGCAAAGGCTACCGATGGTGAACTTGGTTAAGGGTACAGGGGAGAGGTTTATATATTTAAGAATAAAACTTTTTTTCTTCTTTTTTGGGAGAGATTTTTGCTATACGGCGCGTGCGCTCGCCAGACAGAGAGAGACATAGAAACAGAAAGCGAGAAATCACCGCCCGGGGGGATGGTCACGCCGCAATCCCTTCTCCTCCATTCTCCTCTCGGGATCTTGGGCATGCACGCACATGCTCCCGGCGTGAGTTTTAAGCCACCGGGTCCAGGACGCAAACCGCGGTCGACTACGTGGGAGTCCAGCGACATAGCCATTACGCTAACTGCCAGTTCCCAAGAATAAAACATTTTTGGGTTTGGCAGGTGGCGTGGTGTTTAGGGCATTGGACTCCTACATGGTAGACCGCGGTTCGAGTCCTGGACCCGGTAGCTTGCTTTCTCACTTTCCTTCTCTCTGGTCAAATTTAAAAACAAAAATGATGAATGAAGTTAAATAATTGTTTTGGAGAGTTTTTTGCTATAGGGAGTGTGCGCTTGACAGAAAGACAGCAAGAGACAGATACAGAAAGCAAGCAATTACATCCCAGGGGGGATGGCCATGCCACAATCTCTTCTCTTCCATTTTCCTCTCAGGATCTTGGGCACGAATGCAGAAGCACCCGGCATGAGTTTAAGCCACTGGGCCTGGGACTTGAACCGCAATTGACTGTATGGGAGTTCAGCAACATAGCCATTATGCCAACTGCTGGTCCCTTAAATAATTCTTAAAAAAAATTTTTTTTTTTTTGAAAAACACATCTACCATTTATATAATATCTGTTCTATGGCAGGATCTGCTATAAACAGTTAACATATATTGAATAATTTAGACTTTACATCAACCTTAAAAGAGATAGGTCTAACATTTCTATTTTACAAGTAAAAAAACTGAGGTACATAGGTTAAGTAACCCACTCAAAGTCACACACAAACTTCAATTCAAATTCAGATGCTCAGACCCAGTAATCATGTACTTGACCATTCACTGCACCCTCTTGCCTCTTTAAATCTAAATCTTTTACTTTTGGTGACATTTATCGTCAAGTTATTTGATGGGGGTGGGGGGGAGAAGGGAGATGACTAGTAGGGAACTGAAATAGAGACAAAGGCTGGGACTAGTCTGAATGTATTAGGTGTAAAAGCCCCCTTGTTTTGTTGTTGTTTTGCTACAGAGCAAGTGAGCTCACAAGAGAAAAGAGGGAAAGTGAGAAATCACCTCCCCACTTGGGCCAGGCTGTAATCTCCCCATCTCCATTCTCTTCTTGGGATCTTGGGGCATGCACACACACACGCCCAGTGTGATTTTTCAAGCCACCAGGTCCAGGAATTGAGTTGTGTAGCCCACCATGCAGGATCTAGTTGCCTTAACCACCATGCCACTGGCTGGTCCAAGCCCCTTTGTTTTGACTAGCTGCTTGTCACAAGAGAAGATGCCTCCCCACCTTACATTCCTCCTGGCCCCATACCTTAATGGAAATCACAAAGTGTCCTCCATTACGCAGGAAAGTGTGGGCATTCAGGGCCACGATTCTGGTCTGGTCTGGCTGGGCCACATCAGCAAAGATCACATCCACCATTGCTAAGGAGAATGTTGCGGGAATTAAAAGGTGGAGTCATGAGATCTTCCTAGATCCTCCCATGCAGCCTGCACCCTCCCCAGAAGACTCCTAGGAAAATCTTCTTATATCCAGTCTCACTTTCCTCCACTGACCCTCCCTCCACAGTATCCCTGCAGTGGGTCTAAAACCCAAGTCGTATCATTCATTCTCTACTCTTTTTTTTTTGAGAGGTTTTTGCTATAGGGCGCATGCGCTCAACAGACAGAGACAGAGAGACAGAAAGCGAGAAATCACCCCCCAGGGGGGATGGCCATGCCGCAATCCCTTCTCCTCCATTCTCCTCTCGGGATCTTGGGCACGCACGCACACGCGCCCGGCGTGAGTTTTAAGCCACTGGGTCTGAGATGCGAACCGCGGTCGACTACATGGGAGTCCAACAACATAGCCATTACTCTAACTGCTGGTTCCCTGCTTTTCTCAAATTTTTTTTTTTTGCTTTTATTTATTTATTTATTTTTTTAAATAATGATCCCGAGAGGAGAATGGAGGAGAAGGGATTGCAGTGTGACCATCCCCCCGGGGAGTGATTTCTCGTTTTCTGTTTCTCTGTCTCTCTCTGTCTGTCTGGCGAGCGCATGCGCCCTATAGCGAAAATCTCCCCCCTCCCCCCCCAAAAAAGAAAAGCAGACATCAAATTGTTCTTGTCAATTACCTCTGAAGGTAGTTTATAAAGCCACCCATTTTTATGTTTTACTTTTGAATTTTTTTCCTAAACAAAGTCACTGATATTCACAATAGGTCCCTCTGGGCTAGGCCATGCTCAGTGTGTGCTTTCTAGGTTAGGATCTCAGCAAATAATGTTAACAACACCTGAAAGAGTTCATACACAAGCCAGGGGCAGTATAAAAAATGCTATGCTTTGGAGGGAGGCAGGAAGTACAAGAAACCTAGGGAGAAGGCAAAGAGATCAGTGGAAAGAAGGCTGGTCCTTGAAGGGCGCCAGACATCCAAGCCACCTCCACCACCTCACCTGCTTTCCCTTTCCCCTTTTTATTGCTCAGAGACTCAAGAGACCTATTCATCCACTGCAGTTCTATCTAAATCAGGGCCTCTTCCAGAAAACCTAGAGTAGTGTGTCCTACCCTACTGGCCCACCTGGGTCAACTAAGACCCCTCACCGATGAGCATGCGGTATTTGTGTGGGTGCCGAGCATCCTCGATCACAGGAATGATGTTGGTCCTTTTCTTGGCCAAGTTAATGAGGTCACGGCCAGAGCGGTGGGAGAACTCGACTGCATAGACCAGACCATCCTAAAAAAAAAAAAAAAAAATTAACAATGAGGGCTGGTGGCAGTGGCCTGGCAGTAACGCACTGCTCTGTGATGTCAGACCCACAACAGGAAGGTCCAGGGTTCGTGTCCAGAGGCTCTCAGTATATGCCATTCACAAAGGCGTGACACCAGGCTGGCTGAGACTAGGGGTAGATCATGGTGAAAAGACCCTATTGAGGAGGGGTCTCTGTCTCTCTTTTCCTCCCTTTCTCTCTTATGGAAAAAATAAAATAGTTAACTATGACACTAATTCTCACATACAAAGCACCTACTTTGGGCTTGCATATCTTCCAAGTCCCTAATCAAAATCGTTCCATTTATATTGTTATCATGCCTATTTTACAATGAACAAACTGAGGCAGAGGTGTGAAGTCCCTGGCCAAGGGTTATTCAGCAATACCCAAGCTACTCAATCCTGATTTACCAGAAAACCAATGCAGAGAAGTAACAAGAGCTGAGGCATCTATAATGGGGTGGGCACTGCTCTAAGTACCTTGTAGGAATTAACTTTTTTTTTTTTTTTTTTTGGCGCATTTTTTGCTATAGGGTACGTGCACTCACCAGAGAGATGGAGAAAAACACAGAGACAGAAAGCGAGAAATCACCCCCCGGGGGAGACGGCCATGCCACAATTCATTCTCCTCCATTCTCCTCTTGGGATCTTGGGCATGCACGCACATGCACCCAGCAAGAGTTTAAGCCACTGGGTCCGGGACTCGAACCGTGGTTGACTAAATGGGAGTTCAGTGACATAGCCATTATGCTAACTGCTGGTCCCTAGAATTAACTTCTTTAATCTTCACAACAACCCTATTTTCCAGAGGGGTAAACTGAAGCTCGGTGGTTAGGTAACTTGCCAAAAGCCACATCACTGATTAATGCCTGCATGAAAGCCTGGTTTTATTTAGTTATTTGGAGAGAATTTTGCTACAGTGCACATGTGCTTGCTGGAGAGACTGAGAGACAGAAAGTGAGAAACCACCCCCCAGGGGGGATGGCCACCCTGCAATCCTTTCTCCTCTTGGGATTTTGGGCACTCACACATAAGCACCCAGCATGAATTTCAAGTCACCAGGTCCAGACTTGAACTATGGTTGAGTCTGTTTTGGAGAGTTTTGTGCTACAGAGCTGGGCGCTTGACAGAAAAACAGAGACAGAAGGTGAGAAATCACACCCTGGGGGGATGGCCATGCTGCAAAACCTTCTCCTCTGTTCTCCTCTCAGGATCTTGGACATGTATGCACATGTGCCTGGTGTGAGTTTAAGCCACTGGGTCTGGGACTCGAACCATGGTTGACTATATGTGGGAGGCCAGCGACATAGCCATTATGCCAACTGCTGGTCCTGAGCCTGTTTTTTTTTTTCTTTTTTCTTTTTTTTTTGAGAGGTTTTTGCTATAGGGCATGTGCGCTCGCCAGACAGACAGAGAGAGACAGAGAGATAGAAAGCGAGAAATC